TATAGGAGTGAAATTTGCACACAAAATATTTTAGGCACTTTTTAACATTCTCAGTGGTGGGAATTTTAACTTTTTGGATTTGTTGGAGTCTTTTTATTATCTTTCACAGTTCCGATGCTTCTTTGTGTCAGAGATGATTCAGGTTATGAGGGAACCCATAGTGCCTTGTCTCACCCTTACGTGATGCCTGACTTGCCACTTGAGCTGGCTGCAGCATCAACGGCCAGGTGGGAACCTTGGTCCGTTTTCAACAGCGTGAGGGTGTGCAGGTCCTGCTTTTTAGCTGTGTGCCTCTGGGGACTGCTGGACATTTCTGGGGTGGAGTTTCATGTCACTGTAGAAATCAAAGGTGACAGCCTGATACTGTCACAGCTCATTGTGTGAGTCCCAAGTTGGTCCCTAACTTAGCATCTCCCTTTAGGCTGAACGAGCAGCAGCTGTTGGCGCGATGGGTTCCTGCTTTTCCTGCCCAGGGCATGGGGGGTGGGCTGGGCACTGGCGTCATCTCACTCTGCACACCTTACGTCGTGTCACCCGTGCTGTCCTGGTGGGGACCAAGGAGTCCTCTGGCAAGTTGGTGTTTCAAAGGTGATGAATTCTGACACAAGCTACATGTTTTACAGAGCTTTCTGCAGCATTTGTGGTACTAATACTGGAATTCGCAAGTATAAAAAAAGGTTAATGGAAAATGTATTGACATATGAAAAATTTGGAGAGGAGAGGAAAGACAACCAGGTGAGAAATTCGAGTTGACCTTGGAGGCCAGCATGCAGCAAAGCCGAGGTTCTGAGCCAGAGAATGCTCACCTGCTTGCCGACTGCGGCCTCAGCTCCCTGCCACCCGGCCCACTGGCCGAGAAGAGGCAGTGCTGAGGAAGCCAGCCAGAGCACTGGCACTGTGGGCACTACAGTGGTGGAGGCAGACACAGTGACGGCGGGCTCAGCCCCGTGCCTCACGGGTCCGGGCAGCGCAGGCATCCGCTACTTGGGTGCAAGAGATGAGCACGCAGGACAGCACCTGCGCTACTCCACGCCCGAGCATGCGGCGCCCAGGGCTGACCAGCCTGCTCCTCAGCCACATCTGCAGCCCGAGCCTGGACTATGGGGACACCAACTGGAAAGCAGCGTCCCGTCATGCAAGGCTTGTCCAGGAGCCAGCCCTGCGTGCTGCGGTGATGCACTGCCTGCTCCCCTCAAGTCCTGGGACGTACCTGAAGTGAGAGCGTGCCAGTGGCTTTATGTCCCGAGTCAGCCAGTGCCCAGTGCCACAGGGTGCGTGTGGCCTTGCCACAGTGGGGTGGGGTCTTGTCCATGAAGCCTTAGAAGGGGTGCCTGAGCTGGGGCCTCCCTGGGCTTGCGGTGGCGCAGCGTGCTTCGCAGCCTTCCTGGGCCACATCCAGTGCAGGTAGCTTGTGACTGGTGTGTCTGCTTGTGTGTCTTCGGTGACTGTAAGTTTGATGAGCATTTGTGTGAAACCCATTCAAGCCTGTAGCCTTTCCAGCATGCGGGAGGCCGTGAACCCTGGGTGCTGTGGTCACCAAGTGAGGCTGGCCAGGGCTCCAGGGCACTTGGCAGTGGTGGCACAGGGACAGCCACAGGCACCTGCCAACCGCAGAGACTGGAAACTTGGAGTTGGTTTGGTTTGGGTGAGCGTTCCTATAAAGGAGCTTCTGAAGTTATTGCAGAGGAAAAGAGTTGACTATTTTTATAGCATATTTAATATATTTGCATAGAACTAGGAGTGTGGGGGGATGCCCCCTCTGCAGGCCCCCCACTTTTCTAACTTCCTTTGCGGCTCGCCGTGGCGCTCCTAGAGCCGCCTCCCCAAAGGTAACGTGCCTATTGTCCGCCTACCAAAACCAGTGCTGCTGTGCTGCTGCAGGGGCGGGGCAGGGGCAGCCTGCCCGGGGAGCCTGTCTGGAAGCCAAGCACATACTCGGGAACCGTGGTCGGAAAGCGTTGTGAGATGCAACAAGCACTTTATTGCAATTACCCCTTCTGCCAGAGTTGATTCTCTTAGGTATTAACCTTTTCCAAAGGATCCCCAGATGGTCTGTTGGTGAAGCCACCAGAGGGCCACGTCTGAGCAAACCCAGGGCAGGAAGCCACGGCAGGTGCCTGGCCGTGGGCCAAGAGCCAAGTGTGCATCAGCCTTTGGCTCATGGACGTGGTGGGAGTGCTCAGTGGCCACAGCTGCTCGCTGCCAGGCAAGCACAGGCAGGGCCCCTGCAGAGGCCATGGAGCCAGTCATGTCCGCACGCGGTGGCCGGCAGTGTTCCCAAAGGGGATCTGCAGTGTTTCAAGCCTGCCCCGAAATACTTGCTTGCCATTTCAGCATTTCCATTGAATTGCTCTTGTAACATTTTTGCACATACACATGACTGAGAAAAAGATTATTTCGGTTGAAGTATAATCATGGAGATAAATTGTCAGAATAGTTATGAATTCAGGATACTTAAAAGTGTTGAACAGCCCACAAAAAAACGAAACTGATCTGGACATTTAAAAATGCGACCTCTTTCTTGCATGTGACAGCTGTGCCGGTCCTCCCCAGCTCATGCCCGACTCAACACTACATTCCTCCCTTCTCCTTAGCAAAAATGCTACTTTGTGGGTTTTGAATGTTTCACAATAAGGTTGTGTTGGAAGCAGCCCAGGATTCTCCCAGGGAAGCATTCTTCGGCACCACAGGCCACGGCTTCTGAAGATGCCACTAACACCACCCGTCCCTGCCACCAGCAAACACTGAGGTGCTGTACAAGTGACAATCGACATAGTATTTATGGAGACGTTTCGGAAGGACTGAACGAAGCAACTGGCTTTGAAAACAGGTCCCTGGGTTTCTTAACTAGATGGCTTAGTGTATTTATTTATATTTCTAAGTTCCTCTGCGTTGTTTTCAGAGTGATTTCAGTGTTGTGTCTGTGGGATCTTTCGCTTGGGATGCAGTCTCACTGCAGGATGGCAGTGGGGGGCTGCACGCCCCGGCACGACCTTCCTGCTTTCAACTCCTTTGAACGAAGTTCTTAGAAGCTAACTCCCTTCAAGTCTGCTTCCTTTAGCCCAACCTCTGCTTGCTTCACCTGCCGGGCGGCTGGCAGGTGCCCTCCCGGAGCCAGCCATGCAGCCTGTTCAGCTCATTTGGAAAGTGGTAATGAAGCTGTCAGCATCTTCTAATGACTGTCACCAGCCCAACCCTAAACAGGGACAATAGTCCACCCTGAACACTGGCTAGCAAGCCTCCCCTGTGTAGCCTTGCCCCCCCAACATGGAGCCCTCCCTCACAGGGCTCCCCGGGAGAGGCGTCAGCACAGCAGCCACACACCGGATGCTGGATCCAGTGAGTTTGCAGGGTTAAGTCCAAGACAGTTCCAAGTGTGTGCTGCTCAACTGTCAGGGAACAGACTCTGCTTGCAGAAACTGTGTGAGTGTTGGGCATGTCTGAGGTTGGGCTGAGCTGGTCCGTGTTCACTGTCGGCACTGCTTGTGTCAGTACCAAGGTGGTGTGTGAAGAGCTCTACTCTTCATGCTGATGTTATGTAACTAGACAATCATTTTCAAGCAAAAAAAAAAAAACAAAAAAACAAAAAACAGGTCAGATGTCCTTCATTAAACAATGTGTCACCTAGAGTAGTTGTGATTTAAACCCTTTTCCTGTGGCTTCCGGAGGGGCAGGGCCTCGGCTGTGACAGGCTGTGCACTCGCCTGTCAGGACTGACCACGCAGAGAGGGTTCCTGTGGTGGATTTCCACTGTTAGCGTCACTCGGTATGACCGTATACCAGAGCCTCTGTTTCTGTGTGGTTCGTAATGTGTTATTCTCAATATTGCTGTCCTTACCGCTTGGTACTTGGTTTTGAATTTAAAAAGCTGTAGCTGCTCTGATTCCCCAGAGGGTGGGACTGTCCGTGGCTAACCCATCTTTATCCTGGAGCGGGCACTGCAGTGAATCCAAACCAACCTTCAGAAAAGAGGCAGAGACTTTTCCTGCCTTGTCTTCTGCCCTGTCCTCCACTGCCTACAAGCCCGAGGGGGGCCGAGTGGTCTCAACGGTGCTACGTGAGGGCCTGGTGTCCACGAGCCGTCTGTAGCCTCAGCACTGTCTCCAACATTAGCCATTCTCCTAGGGTGTCCTCGGTTGGTCCTGCCCGTTACCCACAGGTGTCCCCGAGAAGCTGGTCAGTGTCCTAGCCTACCTCCACCCAGGCCTCGTGCTCCGTGCTTGTCCAGGCCCATGGACCACCAGGATGCTTGTGTAATGTACTTGGACCCCAAAACCATAGCAACAGAGCCAAGCCGGCAGCATTGTCTTTCTTTTGTAAATGTTTAAAAAAAATTAGATCCAGACTTTGTTTCCCTCAATTTTAAAAATAAAAAATACCTCAGTGCTATGTTTTCCAGCATCACCTGCATTTCTCAAAAAATGACACCTGCTTTATGTGGCACATAACTTGTAAGAATCACATATTTTGGATTTTAAAGAGACTATTAAATATTTTAAAATTGCTCTCAGTGGCATTTTCCTGTCTTCTGTCGGACAGTGGTGTGTAAATCACTTCTCAGGCGTCCTCCTCATCCTGGCCCTCGGGGCTGCGGCCTCCCCCGCGCTGGCCCCGCTCTGTGTCACTGAGTGCAGTGGGTGCAAGCCCCAGTGGGAAGTTGCCTGGAAGAGCTTCAGCTCCTTGGGACACCGTCCCTCGTCCTTACTCCGTGGATGGAGGCTACTGCGTGCTCTCACTGAGTCCCGCTGGCCACCCCCAGGCCCTGGTGACCCCACACTGCCACAGCTCAGGTGCGTCCAAGGGACGCTGGCTGGGGTAGAGTGGCCAGGCCCGGCCGGGTGGGGCAGGGCACTGGTAGGACTGCTTGCACACGTACCCAGCTGAGCTCCCCTCACACCTCAGGGCGGGGCTGCCACACAAGCCTGGCTGCCATCAGGCCAAACGACAACCTGGAAAGTGCTGAGCTGGTGTCACACACACACACAAGTACCCAGGACTGGCTGCACCACTTTATTTACACTGTGGCCATGTTACAGTGTTCATTCAATATAGAAAAAATATGAATACATTCATAGTATTCCTCTAATTTGGTAATTCCACATTGTCAAATATTGACTGTTTTGATATTGGGTGTCCCACCCAATCAGGAAGGAAGGACTGAGTTCTTGCTGGGTCCTACTGCTCTCTTTCCAACCAAGATTCTAATTTTCAGAAGACTTATGATTAAACTGTGTACTAGCTAGGGATTTTTTAATAGAAACTGACTCTCCAGGGAACTGCTACAGCAGACTGAGGCCTCGGCGGTCAAGGGCTCAGTCCTCTGAGGATCGTGGCGACCCCCAGCCCCACAGGGCTGCACCCCCACATGGAGGGTCTGGTTTCTTTAAAATATCCATGTTAAATACAGAATCCATGATTATCTCTTTGGGACATACCTTCATCAAAAGCATCAAATTCACGAAGCTACAAAATACAGTATTTCCATCACATTTAGTTGTAATGTATACTATGTACAGAGACGGAGGGTCACCTAGCCTACCTATCGTAAAGACTAAATCCAGATGCGCAAACAAGCCTTAAAAACCTGAGTCAGGACTTATAAATAGTGCAGAAAACGCAAACGCCAAAAACACGATGCCTCCTATGATTGTCACTGGAAGAGAAGAGGAAGAAAAGGGAGGTTAAAGTGAGCCCAAGTCTGTACCCCAAGAGTGTAAAAGTGGGAGGGAGCTGCTGAGTGCCGCGCCCTCCTCCCCGGCTCTCAGGAGCAGTGCAGCCAGCAGCCCAGGGCGCCCCTTCAAGTCCACTGGGCTCTCAGTGCAGCTGGCACTGCCGTCTCCACCCAGTGCTCCTCATCGGGTATGATTTTTAAGACCAAAAGTTCCTTGTATCTCCAACCTGATTGAATGATCAGCTGAGAAACTGGGCAACAAAAAGGTGCTGAGGCCACCCGTGCTCCCATACCCCGCTGGCGGCCTTCCTGACCCCCACTGCCACAGCAGGTTACAGCCAGTGCCCCGGGTCCTCCGGCGTCAGGAGTGCAAGCATGCTACGCTCACTACGGCCATGCGCACTTACCGGTTCTCACGGAGATCTTCTGGGCGATCATCCTGCCCCCGATGACGGCCAGCCCTGTGCACAAGCAGTGGCCCACAGTGCCACCCACCGCCACGCCATAGGGGTCCTGGAAGCAGCAAAGGTGCCGTTAACATCAGACTGTGGCTCCAACTGCCACCTGGGGACGGCGGCTCCAACGCAGCACGCAGATGGAGTCAACAGAACCTGACGGCAGGACTTGGCAGGGCGTTAGTGCTCGACAAGACACACCCGTGGGCCACAAGAACACAGCAAGGAGGGCTCTGGAAGGCCATGCCCAAGGAAGAATAGAGCTTGAGGGAGGAGGCAACAGGCAACATGAGAGCGAGCACGCTGAGGACCCCAGAGGCCCCCGAGTGGAATTACATATTTTAACAAGTTAGACCTGCCATCCTGCAGGGTGCCCCAGGCTAACTGCAGCAGCCCCCCAGTCAGCATGCAGGATGGCAGTGACAGGCAGGCTGGGACCTACGTGGGGAAGCAGACACTGCCAGGCCAGGATGGGCACGGGGCCCAGGAAGGGCGAGGCGAAGGGTAAAGCCAAGTTGCAGAGGGGGGCATGAGGGGTCTGAAGGACGGGCAGGGGCTGTCCCTGCACCAGGGATGGGGGAGGAGGACAGCAGAGGGCAGAGGATGGGGCCCAAGCCCCTGCTCCAGGTCAGCACCAGGAGCAGGCGGTCCCTCTCCTGATAGGGACAGCTGAGGGGATGAGCTGCCACAGCAGGATCCTGTATGCACACCAGTTTGAGTTCTGGCTGTCCAATTCCCATGCAGGTCCCGCTTGTGGCCTGAGAAAGCAGCAGGAAACGGCCCAAAGCCGTGGGACCCTGCATCCGAGTGGGATCCCGGGAGAAGCTCCTGGCTTTGGTGTGGCCCAGCTACCTGGGGAGTGAATCAGTGGATGGCAGGTCTAACTTTTTCAAATATGTAACTCCACTCGGGGACCTTTCGGGTCCTCACCTCTCAGGAACAGAGGGACAGTCACTCCAAAGCAAAGCTAGGTCCAGTGTGGGGGGTCCCCCAGCACCCCCCAGCTGCTCTCTGGAGCCACAGTGCTCTTGGGGTGCAGAGCCGGCCAGTGGCCTTAGGCCTCGCTCAGGCATCTGCAGAGGCAGGGACAGCTCGGAATCACGGGAGATGAGCAGAGGGAACGCCCACCGCCGACAGCCTCGGCCCACTCAGCTGCATGGCACAGCCGCACACTGTCCCCTCGGCGACACCAGATGCAATGCCCACAGCCCTGACCCTCCCACTAACCGTCACAACCACCCTTGGGGCTCGGGGAGTGCCCACCAGTGCATGCCTGGCCGCAGGCTCCAGCACAGGGCCCCTCAGGGAGTGCGTCCCCGTGTGCCTTCACAACCTGGATGTGGCAGGTGCCTCCTGGGAACACCAAGCAGGGACTTTCCTCCAGCGCCACTCACCTCTCGTGCTGCCAAAACGATGGTGGTGAGCTGAGAGCGGTCGCCCCACTCTGCTAGGAAGGTCAGGGTGAGGGCTTGCACGAAAATGGGGGAGATGAAATGCAGCCACCTCTTCTGAGGCATCACCGGACTTGTGGCCGCCTCCACGTCTCCTGGGCCGTTTAAGAGTTTGGTTCGTTGAAACTAAAAGATGTGAAAAAAAAAATTAATAGCAAGGAACAAAGCAAGACACCACAGAATCACCCAGTCTCTAAAAGAGCTTCAATTCTACAGGATGCTTTCAGGAGACACTAGAGTCGCCAGCGTCCCGCCCTCTCCCTTGACCGCCAGCTCCTGCCTCCCAGAGCTCAGCCTCGCGCGTGTCCTGCACCACGCCGAGCTGCGTCAGCTCAGCTGGGATGGCAGCACAGCAGCACAGGCCCGCTCCCTGATGGTGCTACAACTCACCTCCTCATCTTTCTTCTTTAATTCTGCTTGGACTTCTTCCAGCTCCTCCTGGCCCTCGTCTGGGCTCATCTTCAACCCTTCCCGAAGCATTCGAATGCCAAAGATGGCGAACAACGCCGTGGACACGTAGTACGTGTACACCCTGGGGATGACCGTGGTGGCATAGCCAAACAACACTGCAAGGAAAAGCGAGGACGGCTCACTAGTCAGTGCACCACAGCTGGCCACAGGCGGCGGCACGATGGACAAGCCGGAATCCAAACCAGTCAGCTTTCCTAGTCTGAGATGGAGCCCGCAGGTCCAGCCAAGGACCTGACACTGTTACCAAACAATCCGTAGTCCAGCTAGATAGCACTTCCTGTGGGCACGTATGGCTAGGTAGTTCAGAGTCTAGGCGAGCCTGAATTCATATATCCCTGCAAACTGATGCTCTTTACTTACCCATTGGACATGCCCACTAAGCCAGGACACATCTGTCACATCCGGACCCAGGGCCCAGGCCCCGCCTGCCCCATTTGTACATCCCACAGGAGTATGTCTCCCTTATACGAGTTCTGAGCTCTCGCTCACAGGGACCACTCCCAACATCGTGCTCTCCTGCCCTCTCCCCACCGCACCCAGTCCACGGCCCACTAACACTGGGGCTTTCTCTGTGTGGGATGAATGGATGTTTGCACACTCCCCACCATATAATGTGTCTCTGTGCCTGGTACCAGTCTCCGCTCAGAATCTCTCTCTCGACAGGAGGCTCCTGAATCGGAAGCTAACACACTGAACTGCGGCCAGACCCGCAGAGCCAGGGGCTGGCATCCCGCAGAGCCAGGGGCTGGCATCCCGCAGGCTGTGCAGGGCCCATCACTGACAGCAGGCTGCATGGGCACCTCTGGGATGCCAAGCTGCCACAGCACGGCCAGCTTCCGGGATATACCCCCTTACATATCTTCAGTTTTTACAGTGAAGAGCTGCCACAAGGCTACTGTGAAGCTGGACACTAACTCTGCTACTTTGTAATATTAAAAATACCATGAATGCAAAGGAGAACTCCCTGCGCACCCAGTAAAAGCATGTCACTCACTCAGGCCCATCTTCTCTGTGATTAAACACCAGCCTAACTGACATGACACTCGGTTCATAATCATGAACCCAATTCCTACTGTGAAAACGTTACATCAGTAATATCAGCACAGTGCTAGCAGCTTCACGAAGCCGGAGGGCCCCAAGGTCACGCATACGACACAAGCACTTCCTCTGGACTTCATTACTTTCTTCCTTTTTATTTTTTTATCATTATAATTTTGTGAGACAGTTCCATAGGCCCTGGGATTTCCCTTACCCCCTCTCAAGTCCCCTGCCCGCCCCCCACCCCTGAGTTCTTTTTTAGTGTAGTGTAGTTCTTCATACACAGTCCAAAGTCCATCATTGCGGGCATGGACAATGGCAGAGAGTCCAGCATCCTGTTGTCAAGACATAGTAACAGTTTCATGGAGAGTCCAACTTTGTCTGGAAGTGGAGATACAGCATCTGGGGGGAAGGGGAAGATACAGAGAGAAGCCCCACCCAGCCTCCCAACCATCTCATTGTCCCTGTGTGGGGCATGGTCTGAGGGCACTGCTCAAGTGGTTGGTTTTTTGTTTTAATTTTTATTGCGAAGTCACATATCTATATCGATATAGAGATAGATAGATAGATAGATAGATATGCACAGAGGAGCGAGCGACAGAGAGGAAGATCTTCCATCCGATGATTCACTCACCAAGTGACTGCAATGGCCGGTGCTGCGCCAATCCAAAGCCAGGAGCCAGGAGCTTCCTCCAGGTCTCCCAAGTGGGTACAGGGTCCCAAGGCTTTGGATTGTCCCCAACTGCATTCCCAGGCCACAAGCAAGGAGATGGATGGGAAGTGGGGCCGTCGGGATTAGAACTAGCGCTCATATGGGATCCCAGCGCATTCAAGGTGAGGACTTTAGCCACTAGGCCACCACACTGGACCCTCAACTGGTTTTGATAGTTCAACAGTTCTGAATTGGTGCTAATCTCAGCACTCCAAGCACGATGAAATCTCTCCAGAATCTACTGGCTGACACACTACACCTTACGGTCTCCGTTTGCTAAGATGTTCACTTCCAATACTTGGCTGTGGTAGTTGATCAATTTGTTCTGTCCTCTACTGTGGCACCAGGTGTCCTCTGCAGGCTCCAATGGACTGCATATCCTCCGTGTGTCCCTGGATACACTGTCCACTGCTCCGTCCAAGCCACTGAGGAGGCCCAGCTCTGACACATGCACTCCACAGTCCGACCATGGAACGTGCAATTCTTCATCATTGGGGTTCTTACTCCAGCAGTTCAGTTGGAGGGATCCAAGCAAACTCCATCTGAGGTGATTCCACAGACCTGATTCTTGCGTGCGCTCGCCAGTGCAGGGTCCGGCACAGTCCGTCGCCCCTGTGCACAGGCTGGTGGTTGCAACTGCTGGGTCAGTTCTGTTTCTAGCCCTGTCTTCTAAACAAACCAATGGGTGATGCTGTCCAGCCTGGTCCTGCCCACCACACACTCGGCCCTCAAGCAAACCAGGAGGAGCTGCAACCTAGTTAGAGTGACTCCCCATAACCCCCACCAGGCCCCCTATCCTGGTTCCTGTGCTTGCCAGTATGTACAGCAGACTGGTCCAGTCTGTCCCATATTCCCTTCAACTCTCACACATGTCAATGGGTATTGAAGCCTAGTTCAACATGACCAGCCCCACTATTCAGCCCACACACATGCCAGCAGGTGCCATTCTGTCTAGCTATGCCTGCCCCAGACCTGGTTCTCATGCTCACCAGTGGGAATGGCAACCCAGAGGGAGGTACCTACTTTTTCCCAACTGGGCCCATTCCAATTCCCGGGTCATGCACTCTCCAGGTGGTTCTGCAGTTTAACTTGACAGAATTAGCCCCCTGTGCCAGCATCTGCCAGCTGATGCTGCAGTCAAGCCCAACCGAGGGTCATCCACTCTGTCTTATGCTTGCAGCAGTAGGAACAGTCAACCCAGCCTGGCTTTTCTCTGATCAAGCTCACGAGGCCCACAGGTGGTGTAACGCTGCCTGGCCTGGCCGCATCACCAATCATGCTCTCCAGTGGGAGTGGTGGTCCACAGGGGAGCCCGATACATCCCCCACCAGCTTTGCCCTCTCATCCTTTGGTTCTCACTTGTGCTGGTTGTGTGCTGCGGCAGAGTCTGGCATGGCCTGCCTCACCTGGGCATTTGCCAGTGGGTGCTGTAGCCTGGCCTGGCCCAGCCCACTCCCTATTCCAGCTCCCACTGGTGTAGGCTACAGTGTAGCTCAGCCCAGCTGTCACCCAGTCCCAGCCATAATGTGTACTTGGTATGTACTGTAACCAAACTGGGCCTGGCCAACATTCCACTCTGGTGCTCGAATTCACCAGCAGGTGACGTGAACTGGCCGTCCTAACCTGCCCCTGACCTGTGCCAAATGCATGCCGGTGGCTACCGTTTCCTGGCTTGGTCTGGGCTGCTCCCTATCATGGTTCTTGAGCTTACCTACAGGCACTGTGTCCCGACAGAGGAGTTTCTCAGGCTCCTCCATTAGAACCTCACCCAATGCCAGATCTCATGAACACTGGTGGGTCCATGGGCCAGCCCTGCTTAGTCCATCTCCTTCCGAGCAGGAACGGTGGCCTTTCATGACTGGGCTTCACCCATTCCCGTTCTTATTGTTGATGTTTCAGCCCAGCCAAGCCTAGTCCACAGCAAAACATAGTTCATACATGGCTCAGTAGGAGCAGAGACCTAAACTAGCCCATCCTGTACCTACCTCGGTCCTCACCAGCACCAGGTGGTGCTGGAGTCTAGCCCGGTCCAGTGCGCCAAGGCCCAGTCAACACTTGTGCCAAGGGACACTGCAGTCCAGAACACAGCCCCCATAGTCACCACAACCCAGCCAGGGTGTCCCTTTGCTCCCCAACCAGGCCCGTTCCCAGCCACAGATCTTGCCTGTGCCAGTGATTGCTCTGACCCAGCTTGGCACAGATCCTCCCGTCTTGGCTTTTGCCTTCGGATGCGGTAGCGTGGCCTGCCCTGAGTCCTGACTCTCGCTGGCAGATGCTGGTACCTGGCCCTGCTCAGTCTGCTCTCATCCTTGGCTCATATAAACCAGTAGGTTTAACAGCCTAGCCAGGCATGTGCTCCAGCCTGGTTTCTGCTCTTGCTTGTGAACTAAGGTTTGCTCGGCCCTACCCGGTCCACCCCTTCCATAACCAACCCACACATTAGCCAACAGGCAGAACTGCTTTGCCAACTTGCCTGACCCCCAGGCCTGGACCATGTGATTACCAGTGAGAGCTATGACCCACTAGGTTGTTGAGGAGTTTCCCAAGTTCCTCCACTTGGCCCACTCCCAGACTCAGATCTCATACATGCCAGTCGGTGTTAGACCCTTGTCTGGCATATCCTGTCCTCCATCATGGCCTAGTATGAGCTGGTGAACATTGTGGCCCGGTCCACCCCACACCGTTTTAGGATGCACATACGTGTGTTGCAGCCCAGATCTGCCCACACTGTTCTCAGCCCCTATATCTGTGAGTGATGGCAGGTTCCATGGTCACACCTAGCTCAACCCATCCCAACCCCAACTATTGAGCTAACCAGCAGGGCTTGTACTTCTACAGGGTTGGGCCCACACATCCCACACAGAATCTACCCCCAAACCTGGTTCATGTGCAGGTTAGTGTCAAGGCCCTGTCTAATGTGACCCGTTCCTTGTTCTGACATTCAGTCAAGCACTAGGATCTAGCCCTGCTAGAAAGGTCGTGGGGCAGGTTTCTAAGCTGTGTCACCACAGGTCTACAATTAGATTTTACTTATTGTGGCTGGAATATGGCTCTTTGTTTGCAGTCACTTGTGCCACTCCCTCCAGCGAGTTCCAGGTCTGGGTTCTTACGTTAGATTTCCACCATGGTCTGCATAGCCCCAGCTCCTGGCTCACCCATCTCCACCTCCCGTGATACCGCGCTGAGGCTGCACTGTTGTCTGTACAACCTTTCTCTCACTTCTGGTTGGAGCAGTTTCCAGGATTAGAGAGACACCGGGTGTCCTATGTAGCTAGGCTGTTGGTGGTTCTGGTCTTGCTGGAACCTACTGGCCATTAGGTCTGATGGTCACTGGGACCATTTTTG